AAGAGAGCCAACGTTATATCAGGAACTTACAGTGAACTCGGCCTAGTTGATGCATTTTACACCCTAATAATAAGGAATTCACATACATACATAAAACAAGCAGTAGACTTTGTTCTGACCCCTACAATTTCATTAGGTAAGTGCTGTACTATTGGGGATGTTATTATATCAGATCATGTTCCCATTTTTATAGGTCACCACCCTAGTTTAAAAAAAATTCTTTAAGAAAAACTGAATTATTTCCCTGGTATATCCCTACAGCACAAGTTTCTTGTGTTTATCTTAAATGCGACCCTGGGAAAGCTTACATCCATGGACTAATTATGATACACACATTTTGTGGGGCAAAAGATTTCTGAATTGGTTAACAAACCTAACTGCTCTTTGGCTAATCTCCTTGAAACAGGGCCTATACCAACAATATTCCACATATTAGACATTCAAAGGGAACTCTGAACCATAATAAATAAAATCAATATTTTTAAAATATTTTGCAAGCAGTTGTATGCCTCGCAATTCAATTCTCATTCATGCTTTACATGATTTCTTTTCCCAAAGTAACTTTACCAAAATTACAAACCAGCAAAAAGAAAATTTATGTAGACCTTAAACTCAAAGAGAAGTTAAGAACTGTGTTCAATTACTCCCTAACAACAAAGCACCTGGCCCTGATCGGTTCAATGCTAAATTTTATAAAAAGTTCGACACTATCCTATTCAAGCGAGTGAGCCCTGACACTGAGAAAGCTTTTGACCGTCTGGAATGGCCCTACTTTTTTTCCACGCTTCATAAATAAAATAAATAGTACATTTTCCACGCTTCATAAATTTGGTCTAGAGGAAAACTTTATATCATTAAATGGATTCAGAGCTTGTATACCTCACCTCTCTTGGCTGTCATTACTAAGAGACTCACGTTTAGTAATTTTAGTATTGCGCTGCCCACTGAGCCCACTACTCTTTGTCTTGGCAATGGAACCATTAGCTGCAATCAAATGAAAAGATGCATAACAGGAATTAAATTACCATCAGCTATAAATTTCACTATACACTGATGCCATTTTGATTTATATAGACTCCCCCAAAACAATCATTCCCAATTCATAAAGCTAATCAGTTGACAGTGGTTCTTCTCTTTTTCTCTAAGAGTGAAGCCATGGCAAACATCTCATGACCATTTGCTGTTACCCAGCAGGTTTCTGTTATGTAGGTATAAAAGTCTCCCCATGGTTAAAAGATCTTTATAGACCTAACTTTTCAACTTTCCCCTCCTACAAACCATAAATCATGATCTCAATAGGTGGTGAAGCCTGCCCCTATCCTTACTGGCTTGCATCCATCTGATCAAATTGATCGTTCTCACACATGTCCTGTATTTCTTTCAAATGCTTTCAATCATGCTGGCGAATACATAGTTAAGTTTAGTCCTATAATTTAATTTATTTGGTGCCAAAAAAGACCAAGGCTAAGATAAATGACCCTAATTCTACCTGGCTCAACTGTGAATGAGCTTATTTAGATGGATGGCAGCAAGTCAGGAAACTAGAAGGACACAGTAATTGTTTCTGCTTCATGAAAACCCTGACTTCCCACCTGGCCTTTGGGCCTGATGCATCAAAGTAGTTGGAGACATGGTTCAGGGAGGCTCAATCCTCACATTCCAGCAAGTAAAAAGAAAGTTTGGTGTCACTAATGATGACTTCCTTAAACTTCTACAGGTTCTGACTTTTACTCTGTCCAAGTTAAAAAGGTTCATGGTCAGATTTGCTATCTCCCCTATATTATGCAGCTTAAATTCATTACCAAACTGCTATGAAGCCTCAAGGCAGACAACTCTGATAAAGTTAAAGGCAAGTGGGAATCTGATCTGGGCGCAATAACAGAACCAGTGGCCTGGAATGCCTTGTGCAGCCAACCTTCTAGTGTCCGACATTGAATTCAGCCTGGGAGAGGCAATTTACAATGAAGCCAGACACAGAATGAATCCAGAGCTATCAGATCTTTGTACTAAATGTCAATCTGCTATTGGTTAATTTCTTCATTGTTTCTGGAGCTGACTCCATGTCTGGTGGTATTGGATTTCAATTATTCAACAGCTTAACAAAATCTTTAAGCATCCTCTATGTCTTGGAGCAAGGACTTGCCTGCTGGGACTGAATGATGAATTACCTGTACCAGAGACCTTTTGCTTATTTTATTGTACTCTGCTCAGAAATGTATCCTAGTTATGTTAATGACTGATAAAGTTCCCTCTCTTAATCAATGGCTGCATACTGATGGCCTGCAAGTATTATTGCTTTTGAGGCTTTTTCCAGCTCTTATTCTGCCAGATCTGGGAGCCGTCCTTTAGATACCTGGGAGCCACTAAGGCTCAAAGGACAAGGTCAGGACAAATAGACCTGGCCTGGAAAAAAGATGTGGAAATATAGCATGGAATGATATTGATCTGAGTAGTGATGTGCATGCACTTTTCTTTTTTATCTCAGTTGTTTTGTCTCCTTTTATTTTGTGTGTATGTCGGTATTTCCTGTTGGTTCATTTAGTTTTGCCTTTTTTATTTCTGCTTTGCAAAAAAGGTTGAATAAAAATTAATTTGAAAAAAGTATTTTTTGACATTATTAAGGTTTAAATTGTCTTATCAACATTGTTGTGACACACACATTGGTGGGGAGGGACAGCCGTCTGGAGGGGGGTGAGAGGAGGTCACAGTTGTCTCTATTTTATTAGAGGGGGGGCTCACAGTGCCAGACTTTGGTTTAATGTGATCTCCAGACCATATTGTGGCGCTGAACTGTTGAGAATCAGTAGTATTGCATTTAAAACTAATGCTGACAAGAATACAACCTAATTCTAAATTCATGCAGCGTCTAAATTTTAGTTTAGTTTAGTATCCTGTTTGATCCTATTGATGCAGGCCTATTGTTTTCCATTGCATCATCTCGAGGAATGGAAACTGGTGGAGCAGAATATAATTTACTGCCTCTCAGCAGTGCCTCCATCATGCTGGACGTAGCCAGCTGACCCTGGAGTGACTCTGGATTTAACACATTATTGTCTTACACAGCCGACAACAGGCTCAGAGGACGCCTACACACATGTTCTGCAGAAAAGCTCCTCTCACATTTCAACTTCAAGTCAAACGCACAGGTCTGGAAAGTGTATTTCCTTTCTGACTGACGTCAGTGTGTGTATGCTCAGGTTAATGGTGACCTCTGAAAGGGCTGTGGTCATTGTGCAGCGCCCCATGGGCTGTTTGTCTTTCTCTGTTTGCACATTTTAGACTGCAGCAAACATTTAGATAAGCATTTTAGCTAGGTGAGTCTCTCAGTGTTAAACACTTTATCGCTGTTGATAACTGTTCTTCCCAAAAGTTAAATGTTGTTAAAATGAAAAGACTGAGAACAGCTTTTAGAGAGAAAAACTAGAAAACTCCTAAACCAACCAACAAGAAAGTTGAATTGGACATCTAATTTCAAATGTAACAATTAAAGCTGCAGTAATGAATAGTTTTTCTGTTAATAATTGATAAAATGACTACATGTAATGTGTTTGTAGTGATTGTTCCCCTCAGCTTTAGTGAGCATTTTAGCCTCTTTTAGCTCAATGTTTCGGTTTTATAGCAAAACTGCTCCCATCAACCCACAGCCACAGCAGACTGCTGTTTTTAGACAAACAAAGCTGCAGAACATTCAGCAGCTAAAGAGACAGATATTTTTCTCAGGAGTTGGTGGAGACCTAAAACAGAGGTAAAAGGAAAGTGAATGTTGGCTTTTGATTTATCAAGACGACTCCACATGCATGGTAATATTGCTCTCTGTCTGCTGGATGTGTTGAGAGGAACTGCTTTCTAAAACATTGCATTAACTTCACAGAGTGATAATAATTCAGTGTTGTGTTTACAGCTAGTTCTGCTGCCCCAAAGTGGTCTAAATATCGATTAATGCAGCTTTAAAATATCACCGCTAGGTAATATAATTACTTTCTTTCATATATTGCATGGTGTTGTAGTTTCACCAGCATCACAAGCTATTACAATGAATTTGAACGTGAAAACAACTTGGACATACTGAGGAGAGCCGGGGATAATAAACTGTTTTTTTAGGGAAGTCTGTCTTAGGACAGCCAATGTCTTCATCAGCTTTTTGCTGTGTCATTTCTGTTGATGTTTCTGGATTTGAACATGAAATAAATAATTGAATCAATAAAACTGAGTCTATTTAACAAAAAGTATCAGTAGCAGAAGTGGAGAAGAGTCACACAAGTGAGCAAACTGACTAAATAATTAGCTGACATCAGTCATCATAATTCAAGACAGAGTGAGGCTGCAGCAGTGAGTGTACTGAACTCAGTGAGGGTGCCTTTGCTGCTTATGAACTCAGCTTGTATTTCAAGAGAGGAAGAGTTAGTTAATCTTGCTTCAAATCTGCCAATACAGACCGAACCTTTCAATAAAGTCATGATCATATTTATTATCCAAATGAAGGTCTCTTAATTAAGACTCATTAATAAGCCTAATGTATCATTTGAGCATACTCCTATCTACCACTGTAGTCTGACAAAAGTGAACCTATGAAAGAGATGAAGTATAACCAGAGTCCTGAAATGACGCCCCACCCCAAAAATCAAGTGTTAAATAAAGATAAAGTGTCACTGGCCCTGGCAGAGAGCCAGACCTATTCCTGAGGGAGGATCTGAGACGCTGCCTGGTGCCTGAGAAAGTCATCAGTGCCTGCTGGATGAATGAACTCCCTGTGGAGAAAGATAAAATCCGCTGCCTGTCGTTTTACATCCTGCTTCCTGTGCATTGACCCCCATGAATTTCACGCCCACTTCCATGTTTCCATGTGCCAGAGAAAAGCTTGTGACGTGACCAAAGTGAATGTCTTGGTATTCTGGTCATTAGAGAGCCAAAAGAAACCCTTGGGGAGTGTCCACAAAGGAAAGGGTTCATCCTCTGTTGACTACTGCCCCCACAATGCCAGGCACAAAGACAAAACTTACTTGAAGTTGTCGTCCTCCACAAACTTCTGGAGTTCCTCTATGTAGCGAACTGACAGCAGATACTTCTGGACATGTGGCAGAGTCACAAGATGATCTGAAGACAGAAAGGTTAGAGGAAGTCATGTAAGATAAAAAATATGATGTTCTATGTACAGATTTGCTTTCAATGATTTTGACTAAAGGAAACTGAGAAATTAAACTATATAAAAATGTGTGCTTTATGATGCTGACTCAGTCTTCCTCAGAATGTCCACTTACATTAAAAGACAGGCAGTCAACTACAAATGTCACCAGGTACCAAAATGTGTGCACACCCACATCTATCAGGATGTTCTTTTAGTGAGAGAAATGTGGAATACAAATGGAAATGACATAAAAATATATAATCTTGGAAACAGCATCATATCAAGAGACAAAGAATGGTCAAACACATTCATCTATAAAACCATTCCTGTCTCATATATAGTATAACACATGACACATAACAGTATAATGCTGTCTTGCAGGAAGCTGTTACATTGATTGACTGTTGCTGTCAAATCTACTTAAGACATGAACTAAAATGAACATGTACAACTAAAGTTATTCAAAACAAACTACTGTTTTTTTTCAGTGTCCTTCTTGATAGAGTATAATATTTGGGTGAGTTGAGTATCACCTTAGCAATAAAAGATATATTCTAGACCAACTTATATCTCTACCATGTTATCTTTGTACCAATAAGTTAACTGAGTCAATGCATCAGAAGAATAAAAAGACACACACAGGATGTTAACTTGTACATGTTTGTTAGATTACACACACAGAGTGGTCAAAGCTCTGAATGCAGTTCCATCTCCTGCTGGAGAGTGTGTGGACTTTACCCAGTTCTTCTACCATCCCTCCCAGCACCGATGATCTCACCACTTCTTTTGCCTGTTCTGCCAAGTTAAATGAGAGCTTCGTGCCCTTGTGATTCACTCTCAGAAACACCGGCTCTATAAGTAACGAGTGGATCCCCTTCTGTCAAAGCTTGGCGTGGATTTCCTTGTACTCCTGGTGCCATCAGGGAGATTAGGGTTGGCTTTCCTCGCGTCCTAAAGGACAGCCTGCCAGTCTGTGTAGTGTAGAAGCCTGAAAAGCATGGTCCATGGTCCTCAAGTGTTGAAAAAAATCTGATGTGTTCTATCAGTCTCCAACAGAGTGCTGTGGGAGTTCTTCAGCACTGGCATCCAGTGAGGCAGCATCTTTTGGAGGACGCCTCTCCAATCGTCCTCAGGGCCTGTTGATCAGCCGCACTTTCTCTGTCCTGGATCTGTCCTCCAAGTCGTACATTTTCAGCTGTAACTTAGTCACCTCCGCGAGACAGGAGCTAGTATCAAGCCTCCTAAGGTCAGTCACATGAGTTTGTTGACATAAGGTCTCGAGGATAGGTAGAAGGATCCAAGGTGGCGATGGTCTTCGAAATAGATAGGTAGCAAGTTATATCAACAAATTGTCATGGTTTGCCCTGACAGACAATTTATGTTTGAACTTTTAGACTCTTATGGTTGGACATTCGTTTCATTTCCTGTTTTATTCTTTAATTACTTACCTTTCATATCTTGTGGTTATTTTACTTCTTGTCTTTGTCCTGTTTCCCTCCTTGTAGATTGTCTGCCCTGTGTATTTAAGTCTCTGTCTTCCTCTTTGTCTCTGTCAGCTTTCCCATTTGTGTTCTTTTGGAAGTTTACCTTCCAGTACTCTGGATCTTGTTTTTTTCAGCATCAAAGACTTTTGTGTATTTCATTGTCTAAATAAACTTTGATCGGCATCTGCGTTTGGGTCCTTAAAAGTCTCACTCCTTGATTTTCAAATAAAAGAAATGGAAAATGTAGATGTTGTCATTTGTTTCCTACCATAGTTACATGACATCTGCAGGTCAGAGATGACCCTCAGCAGGTTGTTCATCTGATTGGTCCGTTGCTCCGTCTCTATGATACTGTCTGATGCAGGATAGGCTGAGTCAATGTAGATCATGTCCAACAAGTAGATGCCTGGATGAGACAACACAAGACAACAAATCAATTAGTGGAACCCACCACTGACACTTTGCTTTGCTTTGATAAAATGCTTACTTATGGAATTAAGTTCATGCCCTTTACCTAGATAGATAGACAGGCGGCCAGACAGAAAGATGCACACCCAACAATGAGATATTTATATTTGCAAAAGCGATGACACCATTTTCCACATCATTCTGTAAAATCCCCAACATATTACTGTTTCAACCAGGAATGTGTCCAGTTGTTTAACAAACAAATCCTCAGCCAGCCCAGCTCAGAAAGGAGGTGATTATGCTGTTGTGGCTAATATTTCAACCTATGGCAGCTTTCAAAACTAAATATATTCTCAGTGTTGCCCAGGAACTGTAGTCAAGGCTGAAAGCCTCCAGAAACAGGATTGTTTGGGGCCATAACTGGACACCATCTTTTCCACTGAAAAACAAACCAATTATATCTATTATGGGTATCGTCATAGAGTAGGGAGCCCCACCACATGCATTCAGTGGACGGAGACTGAGCTCTATGACATAATAAGCTTTCACAAAGTTATTGATTAAGCTACTGTAAATTAGGGGCGCCTCTATTCCAGTCCAGAGGGCTGTGTTAATACACCTGAAGCTGTTTGGGAACTGACAAATACAGTGCATGTTGTTATAACATGTAGCCCCAATGTCAAGTTAGGTTCATGTCTTGTTAAATTTATTGGATAATATCTTTTATGGTCCAAGAGTCTGTTTAGTAGAGCATATTGAGCTGGATTTGAGCTGACTTTCAAGTTGCATTCTTGGGCCTTAATTACAGCACCAACATCTGGCCGATTGGACTCATGTTTCTTGGGAAGCACTTGCAAACTATTTTCGGTTTCTGGGCAGTTTCATGTTTCTAGCTTGTTCTAGCAGGTTTTAAGCCTTTTTGTGTTCAACAGAATGAAGACGTTCAATCAGACCAGTTTAAACCCGCGGGTTTCAAGATTCACAAAGCCAAACAAAGTGACTTCAGCTAGTTGTGAAACCAATCACACACGTTTCGCCATCATGAAGCCTGCAGAAGTTGAATAATTGTGCACTCAGTGTTCCACTATTTTTCTCCTCTTCATCAGATGTGAATGAATCTGTGTTCAGGAGATATCTCAGGACGCTTAATCAGAATTGCTCAAAAGCATCCTGAGTTATGAGCAAATCTATGATAGGCCACGCCCACTTTCACCAATCTATATGGAGCTTCAGATTTTGGTTAATTCTTGCTTCCGGAGCATGCACACCTAAACTTGTGAAATTCTGTCAACTGGGTTTTGAGGTACTTCTTTTTTGGTATTTGTGGCGCCTCCTATGGGTCAGGCTCAAAATGCTTCAGTAGACCTGTACCCAAACATGGACGCAAGGCAACTACTGGTTTATGATGGTTGGTGAATCTGTCTTGGCCATTTTGCTGCTAAGCAAAATGAAGTTAACTGGCCAATATCTTGACAATTAAATAAGACATCAACCAGCTTAATACAACATTTGATATTTTTGTTCCAATTATGATCTACAGAAAATTTGGTAGCAATCAGACAGTTCTAGGGAATCCATTACCCTTCCTATTTTTTCCCTATACTTCTTATGGAGGGACGTATCAGGAGACTACTGACTGATCTCAAATAAAATAATAATTAGAGATGAGGGTTGTCATGCACAATTATAAACCATGTAATGTAATATGCTGTTAAATTTACATTGAATACACTCTTGACAGAATATAGCATATCAAAATAATAGATGAAAACAAACAATATAATAGAGGTCAAGAAGGGACACTGGACCGCCTACCTTCTTACCTCTTGTACACTTTGTTTAATGTAAATGCACATATGTGCATATAGATGTAAGTCTGTTTGTGTGTATATATGTATATGTAGTGTATCTGTAACAATTCTGTATCTTTTAACATGCAAACAAATCAACTCAATAAATAGTATATATAAATTCTAGGATGGAAAACCTCTACTGTCTGATATCTGTTTAATGTGTGACTGGCTGCTTTATTTCCTACTGAATTTCTAACAGTGGTATGGGAAAGTATAATTATTGAGCACCACATAAAAGTGTTTCTCACATTTTATATCTATACCAGCACAATGCTGGCCGCTGGCCGCATGTTGCCCACATCAATTTGTGGTTGCACATAAAAGCCGACAGCATCTTTCCTTCAGTATAACACAAACAACCGTTAAACCAAGACAGAAGAAGAGCTGCTAATTCTGGTTTCCTCGTGACTTCAATAACTATTTTTTATAAAAGGGTGAAGTTATGTAACAATGGTTATGTATTCATGGTGGTCAGGAAAACCCTGTGCAGTACAAGTCGATGGGGAAACACACACACATATTTGGCAATACTATACACACAATGCATCTAGATATACGGTACATTGACAATATAGAAAACACAGTTCATGTTTGATTAGCCATCCCAATTATTTTATTCTGAACAATCAGATATCTGAAATCAAACTATTTAGAGCTGAGATGACATTATTCTTGAATTTAAGGTAAACACAAGAAACTTGTGCTGTAGAAAATGGACCAGACTCAGTGAATAGCTCCCTAAGCTTAACATCCTAAGTCCTATGATAACTATTAATTCAGCTATACAGACTAATGAGCAGTGATAACTAACATGTCTTTGGGGTCATCAGGTGGGAACCTCCTTTCACCAGTGTTTCGTCTAGTGAGTCCCACGACACCTCCAGGAGGCTGGACAGTGATCACTGGCGTCCCAGAGTCACTCCCCTAATGCCAGCCATCACTGCTCCTCACACCACAACTATCTTCTCCTTTATCTTGCCTATGCTACCACAAACAACATCATCAACTCGGACAAAACACACTAGCAGATTCGCAAACAAACTCCCCTAACCAGTTGGAGAAAGTGGCGGCCATTTTGAATGAGGGAGGTAGAGTCAAGGAGAGATGCCTTTTTAAGCTAAACTCTCCCCCGCTGGATTAGGCTGTGCTCTACCTCCCCCTACTCCCCCACTCTCCAACAACTCACCTAAAACAAATAAACTCACCTAAACAGTCAAAGACACACTACAGACCAATTCAAAGCAATACAAACAAACAATACGGGCCAACTCACCTGAACTAACCGCATGGTCTCAAAGAGGCTCACATAGGCCACACCCCCCAATTAAAAACACTTCCTCTTCCTGGATTTTCTTCCTTGCTTCTCCTAAGAGTCTGTCTATCCTAAGTGCTCCCCCTGCTGGGCCCCCAGCTACCATTACTTCTTCTCATCCAAATCCACTGACTGGATCTTGCTGCCTCATCTGACATGTCCTTTACTATTTTCCTCACACTCTGTCCACTTCCTCCTAACTCCCTCACCAAAGAGACAACAGACCTTGCTACAAATCCTCTACATCCTACTTCCACTGGACAAATCCTAACTTTCCATCCTCGCTGCTCTGCTTCTGCCCCTAACTCTACATACCTGAGCTTTTTCCTTTCATATGCTTCTTCAACTGAAGCCTCCCACGGAACAGTCAGCTCTATGAAATATACTTTCATTCTACTCCTAGACCACAAGACTATGTCAGGCCTTAGCTTTGTACTGGCTATTTCCTGGGGAACAACAAGCTTTCCTCCTAAATCTACCTGCATTTCCCAATCACAAGCATCCTCTAAGCTGCCTTGCCTCCTTGCTGTCTTACCAACTTTCTCTCCCTCTTGAACAAACTTGATTGCAACTCTCTTTATTTTAGACCCTCCTAAATTTGCCTGCCTCCGTAAATCTTCAATTCCTGCAGCTAAGCTTTTTAAAACCTGGTTATGTCGCCACGTATACCGGCCTTGCGACAGACTAACCTTACAGCCTGACAAAATGTGCTTTAAAGTTGCAGTACCTGAACACAATGAACATAGCGGGTCTCCATTTACCCAGAGAAATAAACTTCCCTTAGCAGCACTTTAGAGTAATCTGATTACTTTTTCAGTGCGCAGCAGTGTGAGGGATTGTAATTTGAAATTCAGTAAATACATTAAAGTTAATTATCCCAGCAACGCTCCAGAATCTGTTGGTATGTTATGGATGATGACAGCTGTAATCACCTTCAGTTTCTCTGTGAACTGTCTGGAAGTATATCCTTTACTGTATTTACTGTACTGTACTGTAACATGGCTCTTTGAGTGTTTTCTGCAGGAAGCTGTTTGTTCTATGTGATCAGCTCAGTGTGAAATTTTACTCTTGTGAGAAAATGTGAGGAAGTTTTTTAAATCTAAATATACAGGCCTATTTGGTAAACCAATATGATGACAGTATTGAAGCCATCGGGAGAGTGCGACCCAGAGAAAGCTCATCAAACATGCTGTTGTAATACAGACATGTAGTGCCATTCTGTTTTTAGCCTGGGCTCGTTTACATTTTGGCAAAATGCCCTCATTAAAAAGTATGATGGGTTAGCTATTAACAGCTCCTGTTTGCAGTGTACCAATGGATTTACATCTATCACTGGATCAATGTGATACTGAAGCAAACTGAAATTTAAGGACGTTCATTCCTGATGGATATCAGAGACAATGATATCCTCAGGAAATATAAATCACACTGAGTGATTTGGTTTGACTCAATAATAACTGAGTCTCTGAGTAGGAGGACGGTTTTTGACCCGGTTAACTCTCCAGTGCCCCCCGGGTGGGTTGTTTTCTTCATCCTGCTGAATGTCCATGACTATTACAGATCATATCCTGTAATTTCATCATGGCTAAACACCATCTACAACAATGAGTTGAATTAATGAGGAGCAGACATTTCCTATCTCCCCCTGTGATGCTAATCCTGCTAATCCTGGTGTTGAAGACATTAGCTGTGTTCCAATTCAGGGGCCGAATCCTTCAGAAGACGCGGCCTACAAAGGCGTCTGAACTGAAATGAGACAGTCTGGTCTACGGAGGATTTCCACTTTGTGTCTCCAGCTGTGCCGGCCCGTACCACTGCGTCGCAAAGCGCGGC